ACCTACTGAACTTTTTCTCTTGCTCCTGTCACCTGTGAACTAATACCTCACTGTTCGTTGTCAATGTGACTATAATAGTGCAAATTTATGTTTGGAAATTTGTGATTTACTGACCTTAAAACACATCTTCACATTAAAAATGGAACGATTTGATCCAGGGTTCTTGCTTTTTGTCCCCACGAGGATACAAATACCTCTAATGTGACGAAACACTGGAACACACACACACACACACACACACACACGCACTGTGTTTCAATGCTGCACAGGTGAAGCCCCAGTGAAGCAAAACAACACCTGAAGGAACATAAAAGATTCATCACTTACAGTATACAGTGAGTGCACACACACACACACACACACACACACACAAAGCTTTGGTGTGTCTCAGGGCACTGCATTGTCTGCTTTGTCTTTCATATTTTGGTGTGTGTGTGTGTGTGTGTGGACGAGGAGAATCTACACAGTCATGGTAATATCCATTCAGGACGATGTCGCTTTTGGGAGGGGACGTGTTGACACACGCCCACGTAACCTTGGCAACCAGCGATCGCTGTGGGTGCAGATGAGGCACGTTGTCGAAGCGAGCAATTATCCAGTAAGAGCCCTCCCCTGAATCATCAAATGCAGACACATAAAGTCACACAAACAGAAGGAGACACACACATAATGGGTCACATGACGAGCAGAAACACACACACACAAACACACACACACACACACACACACACACACACACACACACACTCACACACACACCTACATGCCACATCTCACTCCTGGCATCACTTCTACATTTCCTCCTCGTCTTATTTCGCCTTTTAGCCCATTTTCTAACCTCCATTTTAATATTCAGAAAGCAGCATGTGGCTGCCCCGCTGCTTCTCCCTCTTCAGCCCTCCTGATACATCTTCTAAAAATACTCCTCTTCCCCTCTTCCTCTGACCTATTCCTTATTTTTCACCCTCTCACTTTTCCTCCTTCCCTGCCCTCATCTAACCATCCCTCGCTCTCTCCTCTCTGGCTCAGTGTGAGTGCTAGCTAGGGCCCAGCGGGTTTTCTAAGAGAGGTATGACACACACGCACGCACACACACACACAAATGCAGCTGGGCTATGAGGCAGACAGAGGGAGACAGAAAAACAGAACAGAGCGCATGCTGAGCAAATACGCACACAGACACACACACACACACACACACACACACACACACACACAGGCAGGTCATGCAGAGAGAGACTCGGCTACTGCTGCTGAAGAGAAAGCCTGTGGCACATACGTAGACCTGCCTCTCTCCTCCTCCTCCTCTCTTCATTTCTTCCTCTCTACTTTGTCGTTCTTTCTTCTACCTCTCTCATCTCTAATCATCGAGCTGTGCACATAGAAAATGGAGCAAGTCAGCTGAGTAACTGACTAATGACAAACACACATGCACACACACTTCTGATATTAAAGCGTGTGCTAAATAACCTCCTACACAGTGCAGTCTGGCTGGCAATCTTAAAGCCACATTGGCAGCGTTTTATTTTCTGTTTTGAAACCAGCGAACATAAATTTGTCGAGACGACTGCTCCGAGGCCGAGTATCACCGTACACGTTGGTTGAACACAGCATTTTTGGGGCGAGGCAAATCACATTATGGTTTATGAGCGACTAGTTTTTGTGTCCCTGGTAAATCCTGTGACCAGCAACAGCCACGATTTATCCACGTTTAGGCTGCTGTTAATCTCCCCATCCTGTTTTTGAACTCAAGGTGTTTGCACTGTCATTATAAAGCTTGGTATTCATGTCAGGATCTCTATTTTGAAAATGCACGACAATGCTCGGGCACCAAGGACGTAGGTGTTGGCAGCCACAGGGGACGGTACAGTTAACTGCTTCTTTTTTGCCCTTGATGAAGAGGGGGGCGTTAAAAATCATCACCAGACAGTTTAGGTCGATAGTAAACGCTTGTTGAGTTTTAAAATGACGGAATTAATCCAAAGATGTGTGTCTTATAACTGTCCCTGAGTAAACCCATATGGGGAGCTGATTTTATGATGATATGACATAAAAACCATGCTGTATAAAAAGAATATAAACAGGCCTTAAAGTACTAATTAAAACTGACTAAATTAGCCTGTTAGAGCTTCATAAGAGACTGTGAAACCTCCACTTAAATACCCTCAATGTTTTGTTGAAAAGTTCCTTACATCATTGGTTCTGAATTAATTTTAACTTCATATTTCGGCATTCTGAATCTGAGATCAGTGCTGGTTAGAGCAGGAATAAAGACAATAACCACATATTGTTCCATGACAAAGCAGAACTGTATTCATCAGCGCTGTCACATCAATCCCTGAGTCATTCCTCAGAGTATGGAAACATTTAAAGCGTTGTGGTCATGACTGCTCCAGCTAGAGGGAGATGTTCTGACGTATGTTTATATGAGTTTATTCTGTGAATCTAGAATATTTGTTTAATTCTGGTTGAAAATGTGTTGTGTCATGTCATGCTAATGGATGCTAATGAAAGGAGATGGTGAGAGGTGAACATAGGGATAAATGAGTGATAACAAAAAGAGTGAAAGCTCCACTAAAGCTGCCTTCAGACGTGCACTGAACTCTGTATGTGAGAATGCAAATGCCCAAGGCATATTTTCCAGAACTATTCCTGCCAGTCCCCCGGTAGAATGTCCGAAACAAGAGTGATATATACGAATGAGACACTGACAAAGTTGAAGATTTGAGTGCTTTTGGCAAATAGGAAGAGAGGAGACTGAAGAGGAGCATGAGGAGGAGATGATGGCGATGAAATGAAAGCAACTTAGAAAACACTGCTTTAATGTGACTAACTCAGACTGGTGGAGTAGCTCTGGTTGAACGTTAACAATGTGAGTCTGCCTTATAGATTTTGTCCTCTATTTCTCATACTTAAGCCATGTTAGGGAAGGAACAGCTATTGTTTAAGAAGAAGGAGAAGTTAGAGAAAGAGAGGATGAGAGGATGAGAGGATGGGAGGATGAGAAGATGAGAGGAAGAAGTGGAGGAAGGGAGGAGAGTTTCTGTCAGTTGTGCACGGCTGCTTCTTTCCATGTAAAAATGCCTGTTTCTGCTGCAGCCCCTCTCCCTCACTGTTATCCTTTACCTGATCGCTGCTGCTGCTCTCTCTCCTATCGCTCTCGCTTTCTCTCTCTTTCTCCTATGTCTCTCTCTCTCTCTCTCTCTCTCTCCTATCTCTCTCTCTCTCCTATCTCTCTGCCTCTAGGTTTCTCATCAGCTCTTCCTCTCTCTCTCCTTTGCTTTTTCTCAACCACTCTGCCACACTCCGCTGGCTCCAGCAAACGGCTCCCCTGTCATATTATCTCACACACACACACATACACACACTCACACTCACACACACTCACACACTCACACACACACATACACACACACCAACAACGAATGCCTATAGAAATGTACTGTTTACATGCAAAGGCCACAGATGCACAGACTCATACGTTTTTCCTGTCTGTGCCTACACAAATGCACACATACATAAAAAACACGTGCACACACACACACAGGCCGAAGCTCCTGAGGGGGTCAGAGGGGCCCTCTGCAGGGGAGGAAAGTTTCAGGTTGGTTGACAGCACAAAAAAGACCTTTGTCCTTCTACCTATACTCATGTTTTTGAGAATGTTCTGGCTTTCATACATGAAATAAGCAGTTCAGAAAATATCTATGTTACTATTGATATAGACGTGTATCGGCTGATGTACTCTCAGTACTATCAATGATTCAAGGATAATTTTGGTTTATCATGAGAGATACATTTTCATTACCACCTCACCCTTTACAAATATATATTCTGTATAAATACCCTGTATTTTTATTACATTTATGATTGAGACGGGTCACAGATGTGGGAGAGAGAAGAGCTCAAATTACACTCACACACACACACACACACACACACACACACACACACACACACATTAACATGGTGTTAAATACAAATCCAACAGGCATTTCAAAATAAAATAAAGTTTGCAATTTTTTTTGATTACATTTACTTTTTTAAACTTTCTTACATTGTTTTCCACGTATCATCATGAACATTACATAATCCTACATCCACGCGCCCAGAGGACGATAACAGCGACCATTTAGACTAAAAACATGGTGTAGAAGACAGCGCTTCTAGTCCAATTTGAATGTGGGGGCTTACGGACACTTGGACGACACCACAGGAGCAAAATGGAGGCATTTTTAGTTTTTTTCTGTTGTTTGAAGAAGTGGTCACCATTTACATAAATTGTATTGGCGGCAACGCTGTTTACTCTTGAAACTCTAAAAGTGTTTTGTGGACTCAGACACTTCCTCCCTCCATCGACACAGTAGTAATGAGTGAATTTTCATTTTTCTGTGAACTATCCCTTTGAACAAAAAAAAAAAACAACTCTCAAGCCTTGTTAATTGATCGATTTATAAATTATAATAACGTGGAGAGTTTGACCCAATGTATATGTTGTGTGTTATTGCTCTGGAGGAGATTCTATCTTATATATATATATATATATATATGAGGTTGCTCCTCTTTATTCTCCACATGTGTGACCTCCTGTGGTACAGTGTGTGGAGACCGGGCTCCTGCTCTGTTTCCTGTGTGGTCCACTCAAAGGGTTAAAGCCCAAAGTGAACTGAATTGTAAGAAGTTGGTTTCCAAGGGAAACTGTTCGCACCGTTCCAGCTGAGGCGGGAGAGACCAAGTGGCTGACACGGAGGCTGGAGGGGGGGATGCGGGGACGGCGCGAGTTCAAATCGTATAAAATCGCTTATTTAACACCCCCGCAAATATGACACCCTGTTATTAACGCCACATAACTCTCGTGGTGACGCTAAACGCGATGTTGAGGGGTTGAATCAGAATGAATTAAGGAGGTAGTTCTTGTGCGCACCCCCGCCGCTCAGCCGGAGTGAAGCGGTCTCTGCCAAGTCGGTTTGAAAAGAGCAGACAAAGGCTTTGAGCTCAGGACGCCCCTCTCTCTCTCTCTCTCTCTCCCTCTCTCTCTGTACAAAGACAGCCTCGCTCTACCTTCCCCTCGTCTCTTGCTGTCATGGAGGTGTTTTCGAACAGGCGGCGTTAAGAGCTGCTGCTTCTTCTTTTTTTTTATTTCCCCCTCCGCAACTTTCTCCTGCTGAAATGTGCGAGCGTCTGGATCCGCGCTCTGCCGAGAGAGGACGTCTTTCCCTGGGTTTAACACAAGGAAGCGTCGCCTGAGAGAGAGAGAGAGAGAGAGAGGGGGGGAAGGATCGAAGCTTTTTCCTCCTCTCCTCCACCTCCTCCTCCTTCTCTTCGCCCCCTCTCCTCCTCTTTTTGGCGGAGAGAGGGGCTGAGACAGGAATACACGCTCTTTTTTTTTGTTTTCTGTGTTTTTCTTTTAATGCATTTGAGTCCTACTGCGCCACCAGAGCGGATCACGTGGGGCCGGAGAGAGTTGGATCGATTTTTGCACAGTTCAATGTGAGAAAGAGAGAGAAACAAACAACTCTTATTTCTTCTTTCACTTCCATGGATAACTGGGACTGTTGATACTTTTGCATCAGTGCAAGAGGAGCAAAGGGGGGAGTTGGTTCTTTCTTTCAGCCTTGGAGGTGTGGAGTATTAATTCTTATATGCCTGGGTTTTGAAAAACAATGGAGACGCACATTTCGTGCCTCTTCCCGGAAATTTTGGCCATGATTTTCAGCTATCTGGACGTGAGGGACAAAGGCAGGGTTGCCCAAGTGTGCATCGCTTGGAGGGATGCATCCTACCACAAGTCGGTGTGGAGGGGGGTGGAGGCCAAGCTGCACCTCCGCCGGGCCAATCCCTCCCTGTTCCCCAGCCTCCAGGCCAGGGGCATCCGGAGGGTCCAGATCCTCTCGCTGCGCCGCAGCCTGAGCTATGTGATCCAGGGGATGCCCAACATCGAGTCCCTCAACCTGTCCGGCTGCTACAACCTCACAGATAACGGGCTGGGTCATGCATTCGTGCAGGAGATCCCATCACTGAGGGTTTTGAACCTGAGTCTGTGCAAGCAGATCACAGACTCCAGTCTAGGCAGGATAGCTCAGTATCTGAAGAACCTGGAGGTGCTGGAGCTTGGTGGCTGCAGCAACATCACCAACACTGGGCTTCTCTTGATAGCCTGGGGCCTGCACAGACTCAAGAGCCTCAATCTGAGGTCCTGCAGGCATGTCTCGGATGTGGGGATTGGACATTTGGCGGGCATGACCCGCAGCGCTGCAGAGGGCTGCTTGAACCTGGAGTACCTGACTCTCCAGGACTGTCAAAAACTGACGGACCTGTCTCTCAAGCACATTTCCAAGGGGCTGACAAAGCTCCGGGTACTGAACCTGAGCTTCTGTGGGGGGATCTCGGATGCAGGGATGATCCACCTCTCCCACATGGCCTCTCTGTGGAGCCTCAACCTACGCTCCTGTGACAACATCAGTGACACAGGGACCATGCACCTCGCCATGGGCACCCTAAGGCTCTCAGGACTTGACGTGTCCTTCTGCGACAAGATCGGGGACCAGACCCTGGCGTACATCGCCCAGGGGCTGTACCAGCTCAAGTCACTGTCCCTGTGCTCGTGTCACATTTCTGACGATGGGATAAACCGGATGGTGAGGCAGATGCACGAGCTGAGGACCCTGAACATTGGACAGTGTGTGCGCATCACGGACAAAGGGCTGGAGCTCATAGCGGACCACCTGACCCAGCTGGCGGGCATCGACCTGTATGGATGTACCAAGATCACCAAGAGGGGACTGGAGAGGATCACACAGCTCCCCTGCCTTAAAGTGTTGAACCTGGGACTCTGGCAGATGACAGAGAGTGAGAAAGTGAGGTGATTGAAAATGTTCTTTTGTAAGTGTGTGTGTGTTTTCTTTTTCTTTTTTGGAAGGGGAACATGAGAGCATGAAGAGGGATGTATTGGATGGGAGGAGAAACATCTTTTCTTCTTTAAAAAGAGAAAACCCTCCTGTGTAGGTGCGCTTCTCCCATGTGACCACGATTTTCTGTCCAAATGTTTTGCGTTTCGTTCTGTTGGCCTTGCAGGATCTAAATTAGTGTTTGATATGACTAGAGGAAGAATTAAAACCTGCTTTTTTGTTTTAATCTCATACAAATCAATGCTAGCAATTGTTTTGATCTCACACTGAGTTTTAACATCTCATGAAGTCTGACTTTGGACTGGAGTTACTTCAATGCAAATCATCTCCTCTCACACATTTTCTAAAGGTGTCTAACTATTAGAATAATCAGCTGCATTTACTGACACTTGCTTCTGTGGGAAATCTTGAAGCGTAAACTTGCATTCATCCAGTTTGGCAGATTCCTTTTTATTCTAAAAGCAAAGTGAGGTTTTAAAACTTTGGTAGGAGACTTTTATTTTTCTTACTGTGAGTCTGGATTTGAAACATTTACGACCTAATCTCCGCGACAGCCATCACGCCTAAAGAAACATTTGGCTACCTCGTATGTGGTTGTTTTCAAAGGGTGTATACTGTTAAAAAGGAAAAGAAGGAAGGCGAGAATGAAAGACTGGGAGAAAATGTGCCTAAAGGGACTGTGTCTGCCCCCTCCCCCATCCCTCTTCCCCCC